TTCTTCGCCTCCGTCGCCCTCGCCTCTTGTCTCCTTACCTTCTCTGTTTCTATCATGTTCGCGATGCAAACCCTCCATCCAAACTTCCTTACGTAGTTCGACAGCTTCTCGATGTCAACCCCCAAGCACTCTTGGCAGTCTCCCTTGGTCAATTTCACGCGGAAGGGTTCATGCTCTCTGCCTACTGGTCGCCTTGCTAGGCAGTGCAGTCCCTCCCTGTCACAACAGTTCTTGAACTCTATCCTCGTCATGTCCCTTGGAATCCCAAACAGCAGCAGCTCCAACTTGTCTCCCTTCCACAGTTTCTGCTTTCATCCTCCAAGCTTCTTCACCATCCTCATGATCTCTACGGCAACTGGACCGTGGCCACTTGTTTTTCGTGTTTTTTCAGGAAGGTATACGGAATACTCGGCCTTCCCAATCCGAGTGTCCGGCGGGGGTTGTGGTTCCTTTCAGTTCTTTTGCCGGCTCACCGACGCTAAATAGCGCCTCCAACATAGGCTCGTAGTCTAGATCCAAGTTCACACCTCCTGAAACAAGTACCCCAGTCTTGTGCCGGGCGCTTTGCTTGGTAAACACCCAGACGTCTCCCGTCCACCCAATTTATCATCTCCGACATCCCGCGGTACAGGCTACATTCCTCCTAAGAGGTCATTTTCGCCACAATAAGTTCAGGAACGACTTGTATAGCCTAAGATCCTACTCACACGCCGGGATGGGGCGTACACCAACGTCCAGCTTCTCATGTACGCTCCACCATGGGTTGCTACCCCACTTACGCTCCCGAGTAGACCTATCTGCCGAAAGTTTGGCCAACAATTCCTTACTGCTTTATACTCGCCTCTCTCCAATCGAAAACAATGCATTGTGCGTGCCGCACATCTAGCTGCGCAGCTTTTGCGTGGTTAGTCTGGTCGTTCAGCTTGCTCGACGTGAGTAATAAGTTTTGCTTTGATGGCTCTATGTTTTATTGATCCACTTCAAGCAACGAACACCTCCCCCCTCCTCCACCGTCCGATCCATTTTGGATCTCACGCCGGAGAGTTTTGGGGTGTCTTAGGTCTAAGTCCTCCACCGCCCAATGGGGGACTTTTAGTATTTTTTCAATGCCGTACCAATAGGCATTAACCTTAGGTAAGCTTGTGCTTACTTTGGACTGTGCGTCTATGTGTCCGGCAGTCGCAAACGTCACTCAACCCGTTAGGTCTCGACATGCAGCTATCCTCACTCAAATCGTCTATGTGTCTGGCACCATCCAACATCACTCAACTCGTGAGGTTTCAGTATGTAGCTATCCCCACGCAGCGCGTCCATGTGTTTGGCAAACTCAAAAACCAATCCATCTGTGTAGTTTCAGTATGCAGCTATCCCCACGCAGCGCGTCCATGTGTTTGGCAAACTCAAAAACCAATCCATCTGTGTAGTTTCAGTATGCAGCTATCCCCACGCAGCGCGTCCATGTGTTTGGCAAACTCAAAAACCAATCCATCTGTGTAGTTTCAGTATGCAGCTATCCCCACGCAGCGCGTCCATGTGTTTGGCAAACTCAAAAACCAATCCATCTGTGTAGTTTCAGTATGCAGCTATCCCTATTCAACACGTCCAAGTGTCCGGCAATCTCCAATACAAATCACCGGTGAGGTTGGAGTATGTGTCTTTCCTCACTCAAAGGGTCTATGTGTCCAGCACTATCCAACATCACTCAACTCGTGAGGTTTCAGTATGTAGCTATCCCCACGCAGCGCGTCCATGTGTTTGGCAAACTCAAAAACCAATCCATCTGTGTAGTTTCAGTATGCAGCTATCCCCACTCAACCCGTCCATGCGTCTGGCAATCTCAAACCTCACTCAGCCCTTGGGGTTTCAGTATGTGTCTTACCTCACTCAACACGTCTACGTGTCCGGTAATCTCCTAGATCACTCAACCTGTGAGGTTTACGTAAGCAATCTTCACTCCACGCATCCATGCGTCACGCGTCTTTAGTAGCGCATACTATGGGGGCTATAAGTCGGGTTGCGTGTTTTACAGCGCTTTGCCAACAGCGCCAACCCACTTAAGTCTAGAAGGGGGGGTTGGGTGTACTCATAGTCGTGCATGCCGTAGTCGTTAGACCATTGACCTCGCATCCCTACAAAGCCGGGACGGAGCACGCCGGGTTCTCACCGGACCAGGCTCTCACATCACCAAGCGCGAAGCGCCGTGAGGTATTCGGCGAGTCGCATGAAGGGTGCGCTGCATCCTGCTAAGGGTTTTCGTCATCCTGTGCTTACTTCCTTGCGTACGGATGACAGCTGCGTATGACTTTATTTATTTTCTGGTTCTTTCACTTCCAGAGACAGTTGTAAGCACTACGTAATTGCCTCGAGGGTGCTTGCCCAATTTAACACAACGTGGTGCGATCATCCCCCTTGCACGGAGTGAGGCTTCTCCACGCCGCACAACATGATCTACTCGACCACCATTACGGTTACCGCCAAAAAGAAAACCAGAGGTAC